TGGAAACATAACTAATGAAAGGAGGGGTACTTTTTGTTTTATTACCTTCAGAAAATGATTCTCTACTGTTTCATAAGAAAAAAAAAAATTTTTTTTTAAATTCTTGGACCCTGTGTTCAAGTTTCAGATTGGGGGTCTGACCCCTGAAAGGGTTAAGGTATTTAAAAACCTTTGTGAACATTTAAGGATTTATTCCTCAATAAGTTTTTAATTGTGATGAAACTGGCCTTTTTTGGAAAAGAATTCCTATGAGAGCGTACATCTCACAAGAAGAAAAATAATTACGAGGACTCAAGCCCATGAAATACAGCTTTACACTTGAGTGGTAATGCTGGTGGGGACTGCAGAATTAAGCCAGTGCTAGTCTACCACTCTGAAAATCCAAGAGTGTTTAAAACAGTGTAATGTGGAGAGCTAATAGTAGAGCATGGGTAACAAGACCTTTATTAACTTCACTGAGTGGATACATGAAGTGTTTGCTCCAAGTGTGAAACCATACCTTGTGGAAAAAAACTTGCTGTTAAGGGCACTTCCAGTAATGGACATTGCTTCTGCTCAGCTTCCAGGCTTGGAGGAAAATTTGGTCTATGAATACATCTTCATTAAAGGGAAGTTCTTGCCCCCTAACACCACTCTTCTTATCCAACCCATGGACCAACAATTTTAAGAAACTTTACACAAAAGCACTGTTTAAAAGGTGCTTTGAAGTGAAATTACCCTTAGGGAATTTTGGAAAAAAAAAAAATTAATATCCTCTAATGTTTAACCTTTTGACTGTTTTGGTCGTATATATACGTCTTATGAGCCACTGTTTTTGATGTATATATACTCATAAATTCTAGCAGCTTCAAATCAAGTAGGAGAAAGCTGGTAGGCCCACATGTGAGAGAATGGGTCTGTGTGGTCAGTGTGCACCATATAAAAAAATCCTGCACCATGCAGTGCATGAGAAAAAAAACTATGACCGTTTTTTTAATTAAAATGACAACTTTGTCGTCTATTTTCGTATAGTATTTATGGTTGTATTCTCGTTTTCTTGGGCTCATTTGATAGAATGGAAAACATATTATAGAAATAGGGTGATTTTGATTGGTTTTTCTATGAAAAGAACCTTGAAATGGAGCTCAAAGTAGGGGAAATATTCAATATTTGCCAATGTTAAAAAGTACACAAATGTCATTTTCCAATAATTGTCCAAGTAGCAATTATAATATGCAGTCATGAATGGGTTGACATTATTTATGCAATTACATGTATTACAATATTGCAGTAGTCTGCATAACAGTATATCTTCTATTTCTTGTTTGAATAAAAATTCAAAATAGAAAGCAAGAGTAATATCAGATGGGCCTGGAGACGTGACTGATGAACAAAGAATATGTTATTTTAGAGTCAGGAATGTCTGCATTGTTCATTCTGGACACTATTTTGAAATTGTCATATTTTTTAATTTTCGTGAAATTGGCCAAATTGAAAATTTCTGACCACGTTATTAGGTAATTGAAATCGGTAAATGGGCAGTTTCTTGTATGTTGATTTGAAAAATGGAGTTCTAAAGAAATAACTATGAGTTTGGTCAACTGGAATAATGGAATTAGCCGAAAATAGGGCTCTAAAGTTGGCGAAATCGCCGATTTGTAAATATCGCCGAGGTTGCTAACTTCACGAGAGCGTAATTCCATCATTACAATCGGGAAAGGATTCTCTATACACAAATAACCTGCACATGAAAGAGAGGAGCTTACGGCGACGTTTCGGTCCGACTTGGACCATTTACAAAGTCGCACAAACGAGAAGCAGAGCAGACGGGTATATATAGGTGGGAAGTTGTAGTGGAAGTAGTAGTAGTAGCAGCGGTGGCGGCAGCATAAGGTAGTAGTAGTGGGGAAGTAAGGAGGAGGAGCCAGTCAACTAAGAGAAGGGAGCACTGCAAGGGAGCTAGGTGCCCACTGAGGGAGAGCGAGAACACAGAGGTGGGGGTGTAAATAATAAAGTAAATGATGAAGGAACAGAAACAAGGCAGGGGAAAGAAAGACAACCCAGAAGAGAAAAAGGAAAGAGGAAAGGGGAAGAGGAAGAAGAAGAAATAGGAGGAATCAGGTTAAGTCACAGGTGTTTTGAAGTTTGGAACATTTTACAGTGTAGTGGGAGAGGAAGGCATCTACAGAGACGAAGCCGGGACTAAGATTCATACAAGGAAAGTTATGTATAAGGGGGGATTTGACCAGATGGCGAATTTTTTTTTTTCGGAAATTTTGCAACTCCAGGAAACACCTCAGGATTTGGGGTTGCGACAGTCAAGAGGTTAATGATAATAGACAGAGCCTCTGGCAAAGTTTCTTTCTGGACAGTGAACTCTGCCTGGAGGAAATTGTGGCCAGACTGTGTCAGTCGGACATTTTGAAGGCTTTGAGACAGAGTCTGTAGTGAAGGATATTGTTTATCTAGGCCAGTCCATGGGTTTGGAAATGCACAGATGAGGATGTAGAGGAGTTTGTGGTGGGTCACAAGACTAAGCTCACTACAGAAGAACTTCAAGACCTGCACAAGGAGCAGCAAGAAGTGGGTTGAGGAAATTTCTCCTTCAGAGGAGGGAAGCAGTAAGGGCAATATTTCCACAGCAGGAATTAAAGAACTGTGTTACCATTGGGCTCAAACACAGAGCCTTGTGAAAAAATGGCATCCTAATATTACTGTTGTGAATAGGAGCATTAGTCTGTTGAATGACATTGTTGTTGACCACTTCAAAAAAAAAAAATTGAAAAGTTATCAAAAGCAGATAACATTGAACAGCTTCTTTAGCACAGAAAAATATCAAATGCTAGTGAATCCCCATCATCTTCAAGTGCTACTGCACAGAGACAGAAAAGAGAAAAAACGCCTGATGTTTTTATGGAAGTTGACACCCTTCCCAAACAATAACATTCTCTACCTTCCTCTAAGGCCATCAACACTCCTCAGTAAAGGTAAAGTTCAGCTAAATTTTCGTTTATTTCATGTTTTATTGTTTTATAGTTTTCATGTATGATTTTATGTATGAAAATATCATTATACAGCTTGAAATAAGCAATATTTTCACATAAAATATTTTATAATTGGTATTTTTTGTTTACCATATTTATAGATGGGGTTGTAAAAGAAGTAAATGCTAGGGTGTTGGGGAGAGTGGTGGGATTAAATTATGGGGAATCAAATACAAAATAGGAATTGACACAGTTACTTTCTGCTGATGATACTGTGCTTTTGGGGGATTCTAAAGAAAAGTTTCAAAGGTTAGTGGATGAGTTTGGGAGGGTGTGCAAAAGTAGAAAGTTTAAAAGTGAACAGAGATAAGAGTAAGGTGATGAGGGGTATCAAACGATTTAGATAAAAAAAAATTGGTTATCACATTGGAGGGAGTATGGAGGAAGTGAATGTTTTCAGATATTTGGGAGTTGACTTGTCAGCAGATGGGTTTATGAAGGATGAGGTTAACCATAGAATTGATGAGGGAAAAAAGGTGAGTGGTGCATTGAGGTATCTGTGGAGATATAAAATGTTATCGATGAAGGCAAAGAAGGGAATGTACGAGAGTATAGTGGTACCAACACTCTTATATGGGTGTGAAGCTTGGGTTGTAAATGCTGCAGTGAGGAGGTGGCTGGAGGCAGTGGAGATGTCGTGTCTAAAGGCAATGTGTGATGTAAACATTATGCAGAGAATTCGCAGTGTGGAAATTAGGAGGAGGTATGGAGTTACTAAAAGTATCAGTCAGAGGACTGAAGAGGGGCTGTTGAAGTGGTATGGTTATTTAGAGAATGGAACAAAGTAGAATGACTTGGAGAGCCTATAAATCTGTAGGGAAAGGAAGGTGAGGTAGGGGTCGGCCCTGATAAGGTTGGAGGGAGAGGGTAAAGGAGGTTTTGTGGGCAAGAGGATTGGGCTTCCAGGAAGTGTGTGTATGTGTTAGATAGGAGTGAATGGAGATGAATAGTTTTTGGGGCCTGACGAGCTGTTGGAGTGTGAGCAAGGGTAATATTTAGTGAAGGGATTCAGGGAAACTGGTTAGCCGGATTAAAGTCCTGGAAATGGGAAGTGCAATGCCTGCACTTTAACCCGTAAATGGTGCAAACGTATATATACGTTTTTTCAACATTTGAAAGTATGTAAAAAAAAGTAGATCTTCTTTTTGTCTTTTTTTACATTTGAAAATGTGTAAAAAAAGCTTTGATCTACCTTTTTTTTTTTGTTATATTTGAAAATATGTAAAAAAAAAACGTAGTTCTACTTTTGTAGCAATACACATGTGAACGTAGATCTGCTTGGACCGTTTATGGGTTAAAGGAAGGGTTTTTGATATTGGCAGTTTGGAGGGACATCTAAACTGTCGTATCTTAGTGCCTCTGCAGAGACAGTGGTTATGTATGAGTGATGGTGAAAGTGTTGAATGATGAAAGTTTTTTCTTTCTTTTGGGTTTTTTTTCTTTCTTTTTGGGTCGCCCTGCCTCTGTGGGAAATGGCGAACGTGTTAAAAAAAAAATTGGGGGAGTCTGGAATGGATTAAGTTTGAATATTGAGGTACCACTGTAAGCCAGCTAGATGTGTTTTGGCTGTTATGTAATCTTGACACTGGTAACTTCTATCACAACTCCCCACTCTGCCTCTACCCTCACATTCTTCAACCCCCACATTCTTTACTCCACATACTTCACCCCCAGCCTTCACCTACACATCCTTCATCCCCACCCTTCACCTCAGCCTTCACCCCCCACTCTTCCCCCACCTTTCCCCACACCTTTCCCCCACACCTTTCCCCCACACCTTTCATCCACACTGTTCACCCACACCTTTTACCTACACTGTTCACTCCACACCATTCACCAGCCGGCATTCTGAAGATATTGCATGGCAACCATTATAGATTTTCTTTTTGGGGGAACACCAAATTACCATATGTATTACATGAAAAAGTTTTTCTGTATGTTACCAGTCATAAAATGGTATATTTTATTATATTTTAGGTGTGGACATTGTCATTACCAGTGGTTGTGATTGTCCATGGTAACCAGGAACCTCATGCATGGGCAACAGTTTCCTGGGACAATGCTTTTGCAGAACAAGGACGCATACCTTTCACAGTTCCTGAGAAGGTACGAATGCTGCTCTATAGTTAATACAGATTTATAGGTTAGTTTCCATTGACACTGTATAAAAACTTGAGTGAAACACCTTAGAAGTGTATCATCTCTCATCAGTTTTTGTTGTTTCTGTAGAGTTTCTTGACAGCTTCTTAGACATGTAATTTTTCATGCAGTCTTTTTAATAGAGCTTAATATTCTTCAAAACTATATATGAATAGTATGCATACCAGGCCGCTGCAGGAGGGCTCCATTTGTACGACTCTAAGGTTTGCAGCCCGATATGATAAACGAAAATTGCTGTTTTTTTTTTTAGCCCTTTTTTTTCATTATCAAATGCATCTAAAATGCATTTGATATACCTGGCTTAATACAGCCATGTATAAAAAAAAGATAAAAAAGTAAAACAAATACACAGTACATACAATACTTGCTTTACAATACAGAGCCTTTTGCTCTACCCTTGTGCAACTGTTGTATGAAAATAGCAATAATGATGGAAAGATGGTAAAATTTCCAAATGTAATAGTGATTCACTTGAAAGCCAGCAACAATGCGGAACACTGTAAAGTGGATGCTGTGTACGTGGGGCCCTCCTGTGTATGCATGGGCAACATTCATCTGCTGCAAGTGGTTGTTTACAAACATTATGATTTTTGTGAGATTTTGTTGAAAAAGAAAAACTGGAGATTAATGCACTGCTTATATAAAGTTAGTTCAGTTAAGAACTATCAAATTCACAATCCTGAGTGACGGCTCAAATTCTGACTGTTCGAGCAATATTTGTCGGTGAATTGGTGAAGAAGAATTTTAGGCATATTTTATTGACAGTAAACTTCTTAATTTTTGGGTTTTAGCTTCAGTATGATTGATTAGGTTTATTTAGGTTATCTACAATATCAACAAAAATTACTACTTGTGACATACTATAATTCAATAAATAAAATATAGTATAGAGGCAATTAAAGCTTTGAAGCATGAACAGAAAATGTGGACCCATGGCCCTCCAGGTACACAAAAAATGCCCTGTCAGATAATCATATAGTTTATGGCTCATGAACACTCACCAGTTTGACTTAAACAGTAGTGAAATACTGATTATTATTAAGATGATACACTAAAATGCAGTGTATGGTTATGAAGTGCAGTGTTAAGGTGAGGAAAAATATGTTCCTTTGGCAGTTGTGCTCTGGAATGTCTGCACGCAACATTCATCTCTGCCACCAGTAAACACTGTACCACATTTCATGCAGGTAGAACCCTCAATTTAATGAACAAAGAGCGGGCAATTAGTGGCTCGTAAAGGCATTTGTAGTGAATGGAGATGACTGTTTTTACATGATCATAATGATGGACAGTTCTGAAACCAATGGATTTTGTCAGCTATTTCTGAATTGGTTGACTCTGCGAATTTTGTCCCAAATGAGGTGCTATCAAAAAGTTCCTGGACTGCTTTTGAAAAAAAAAACGACTCCCCATAGTCACCTTGTTGAAGTACTTTGCTTGCTAGACTATACACTGATGCCAGCACCTCTGCCACTTCTCTAAACATTTCTGGAACTTTTTCTTAACAGCTTCTAGCATGGCCTGCAGTGGCTTGAATCTCCCCCACATTAAAATGCTGCTCCTTGAGTGCCATTTTTATTTTTGGGAAGAGAAAGAAGTCAAAGGTGGTTATATCTGAGATATGGCTGCAGGGGATGGCTGCTGTGTTGTTTTTGGCTTGAAAACTATGGTTTTTGTGGTCTTTAGACAGCAAATGGGGCAGAAATTTCACAGCCATTCTCAGAGCTTACGTGAGTGAGCTGAGCTCATGACGTAGAACTATATGAGGGACCCCTGGCCTCAGTGATGTAGTTCTACATGGTGGCCACTGAAAGGGTTATTTCTATTAATTTACTTCATGCCGTCAAACATCTAGACACATTTGCATTTCTGTATTATATTTCATAAAAAAAATTGTGCTTTTATTATTGCACTGATAGTTTGTAATGATAATAGTGTCTTTTATTAACATTAAATTTCCTGAATGTTTTCTTGTGTCCTGCACAGTGAGATGAAGAAAATGTTTCCTCATCTTGATTAATTTGTGTCTCAGGTACCGTGGCCCCAGATTGCAGATATGTTAGATTCCAAGTTTAAGTCTGCTACTGGTCGAGGACTGACTGATGATAACCTCAAGTTCTTAGCAGGCAAGGCTTTCAGGTTAGACAGGTGTGTCTATTTATTCTGATAAAACATTTAGTGCATTTGATAATATGAATGCAATTACAGGCCAGCTGCTGACATATAGTTAAAATACACAAAACAAGGAAAACTTTTTAAATATGGGAACATTTGTAAATGCAAGTAAGCTGTTAAATCTTACAAAAGATGTACATTAAAAAATTATTCCCTATAAGAGTGGGTGAGAGTTGTAGAAATGTTCTGGTGCCCTAATGTCACATCATTGTTTCTTTTCTCATTAATATTCCTAATAATTTCTAATTCACTGTGATGGGTAAAGATTTCTTAGCACCAATGAGAATCCATAATTGCAAACTGGAAGAACCGAGATCAGAAGGAAACACATAGTAATAGGAAGTTCTTTATAAATACATGGAATTATAATGGTATTCAAGAGGAAACAGTATTTACTCCCAATGAAAAATCTTGAAATATTCTGTTAACATAAGAATGAAAAACTACATTTTGGAAAGTTCATCAAACTATGTTGCTATCTCAGCATAGCCTTTATATTACCAGTATGGATTGGATAACTCTTAACCCCTTAACCGTCCAAATGTAGATCTACGTTCTCTCGCCCAGCGTTCCAAATATTTGCGGCAAAAAAATCTTTTTTTTTTTTTTTTAAATAGGACATTTTTTACATGTAATAATCTAAAATAAAAAAAATAGTCAGTTCTTATGGAGATATAAGGCTGCAAAGTCGGCGCTTGTTGCTCAGCTGATGGCAACATGAAGCGCTGGCACTTGCAGCAGTGTTGCCGATATTCCTTTTTTCTTTTTAATTTTTTTTTAATTTATATAATTTTTATGTTCTGATAATTACAATTTGTAGTAGTTCTTGTGATTTCATATCCAATCTTTGTTCTGACACTAATATTAGGTACTGAAATAGTACTCAAATAGTCACAAACACAGTGAGTCACAGGTAAACACTTTCACCTACCTTAGTCACATACTATTGTCAAGAAATATATACATAATATTTTTAGGTCCCAGCAATGTTTTAGACATGCGGGAGTAAGACGAGTGTCACTCCAGTGCAGCAGTGGAGTGGCATTTGATGGTCGTGCACTGTCTTGGCTTTGTTTTCACTATTACACATAAACATTGTCTGTCTGTCTAGCTCTGTTTATCTCTGTCTCTCTGCTTGTCTCTTTCTATCTCTCTTCTTGTCTCTTTCTATCTCTCTGCTTGTCTCTGTCTCAGAGAGTGACTCGTGAACCAACAGATTTTACAGTATAGAGTAGTCACATCTGATTCCTGGACAAGTGAAAATGTGCATTACTTGCCAGTCATGCTTATTATGCATTATATCTACAAGCACAGTATAGCACTTTGTGTAGATTTTTTGGGTTATCCTAGGTAATTTACAGTATGTATAATTGTATTTATGTGTACCTGTGAGATAGAGATAGAGATAGACAGAGGAAAGAGATAGAGATGGATACACAGACAGAGATAGAGATAGCCAATCAGCCAGCCACCCAGTCAGCAGGTCAGCCAGCCTGCTGAACACATATTACATGTTCCAGAATTGTTTCTCTTTACTTAGGGCTTAGGTTATAAGACATTCTGGCAGGATGACATTACCAGTGGTACCAAAATTGAACGGACGTTGCACATGGGTTATTATTGAGGTTTTTTATATTTCCTCGACCACTTGTGGCAACATCCACCTCAGAGCCACTAAACTTGAGGTAGCATCACTTTCCTTTTAAGAGGGGAGTGTTAATATGACATGACATTAGTGAATCCCTGGTGTTTGCCGTGCTGTTTGTTCTAGCTGGCACTCAATTGAACGGGTGCTCCCACAAGGTACTAAGTGGTCCCAGATTTTTTTAACCCTTTCAGGGTCGAGAGGCCCTCTCCTAAATTTCTCAGGGTGAAAATTTTTTGGAAAAAAAAAAAAATTCTTATGAAATGATAGAGAATCTTTTCTCGATCATAAGGACACCAAAAGTGTGAAATTTGATGGAAAACTTGTGGAATTATGCTCTCGTGAAGTTAGCGATCTCGACGATGTTGATGCATCGGCGATTTCGCCCACTTTGAGCCCTGTTTTCAGCCAATTTCAGCATACTAGTCGACAACAATCATATCTATTTTGCTAGAACTCCATCTTTTCTATCAAATGAGTACAAGAAACCACCCATTTACCAATTTCAAGTATCCAATAAAGTGGTCAGAAATTGGCAATTTTGCCAATTTCACACACATTTCAGAAGATTCATATTTCCAAATAGGGTCCGGAATAAGCAAGACAGACATTCCTGGCACTAAATAACATTTCCTCTTTTCATTAGCCACGTCCCCAGGCCCCTCTTACATATCTTTTGCTTATCACTTTTTTTATTCTCACAAAAAATAGAAGATTTACTGTTATGCAGACTACTGCACTAGTGTAGAAATGGTATAAATAATATCAGTGCACTTGTGAAAGAATATTAGACTCACCATTTGACGTGTATTGATGCTTGGCATGATTTGTTTACTTTTGAAATTTGGTAAAAATCGAACATTTCTGCTACTTTGAGCTCAATTTCAAGGTACTTTTCATTATGAAACCAGTCGAAATCATCTCAATTTCTGTAATATGTCTTCCATTCTATAAAATGCGACCAGGAAGATTAGAATACAACAATAAATACTATACGAAAATACACTGCGAAGTCACTGTTTTAAACCTAAAACACAGTTGGAGTTTTTTTTTTCCTCATGCACTGTGTGCTGCAGGATTTTTTTTATGCTGTGCATACTGACCACATAGACCCATTCTTTCATATGTAGGCCTACCAGGTTTCTCTTGCTAGATTTGAAGGCGCTAGAATTTAGTCGTTCTAGTACGTCAATAACCCTGGTGCGTAAACCGTACTAGTATGTCAGAAACCCTGAAAGGGTTAATAAGGAGCACACTGAGTGTTACGACCCATTCTTTGCTGACCAGGCATCTCAGGCCAATCGTGCCAAATTTGGAGGCAGGAAAAATAAAATGTTGATCTATGTTTGGAGTGTGAATGGTAACAACGTAGATCTATGTTTGGACAGTTAAGGGGTTAATCAGTTTCCTTCCCATTTTGTTTACATTATTCCTGATTATTCCTTCAAAAACTGTATTTTCAGTGTTTGTTCTGTGAACCACATTAGGAATCCTACCAGCACCTTAAATTATGAAGCTGGCAACTAAGGAAAAGCAGAAAGCTCTCAACCAGTGTCATGGCCAATTTAATAAGGTGAATGGCCATATAGGTTCATCAGTGTGGCTGTGAGCAGAGAGTCTCGTACAGATGGCTTGGGCAAAGCCATGCATCATGGTCAATTAGAGCACAGCTAGAATGCGTATCTTAGCATGACTAAGAATCTGCGGCAGAAAAAATATAAGAGGAAAATTAAGATGTGTAAAGTAGAGAAGAATGAGAGGAACAGGAGAAAGACTAGGAAGTATAAGGTAGAGGGGAATAAAAGGAAGACATTAAATATCTGGTCCTGTTAGGTGTTTCGGTGTGGCAAAAATTAACCCTTAAACTGTCCAAACATAGATCTACATTTTCGCATTAGTGCTCCAACCTTGATTTTCTCCGTAAGAAAGAGCGTAAAAAAAAAGTAGATCTATGTTCGGAGCGCTACGTGAGTGAACGTAGATCTGCGTTTGGACAGTTTAAGGGTGAATAGTGGCCTGACAACTCATAGTAGGACACCACAGGATTCACAGTGCCATCCAAGCTTATGTGGTGGATAGATACACATGAGTGGCCTCCCAATGCCCTGTGACCTTAAGCGCCGAGTTTATCAAACAATTTTGGTTATAGGCGAATTAATGTGGGCAAAAATAAGTTGCTGACACAGAGACAGTTTCACAGTCTATTAAAGAAAGGAAATGGTAGAAGCCATTGAAGAACTGATTGCACTTGTCCTGTGAGAGTGGTGGTGGTGGTGATATACCCACACTAAAAAAAAAAAAATGTCCAAGGGAGCCTAAAAAAAAATTAATTTGTGTATAGATATTTTTCTAGGCACTCCTGGATGTGCTCTTGGTGCGAACATGTTCATTGTCATTTGAAGAGCACATCAACCAAAATTGGTAAATCTTCCAATTTTCACATCCAGAAATTTTGTGCAGCCAGAAAACACCGTAGTAAGCAGATGAAGTAGTAAGAATGATGAAGTAAATGGTCCTTATCTACACATTTGTTTCATCCTAGTGATTTTTGCACATGGATATTTGTGTACACTCTGTACCCACAGTGTACAGAATAGTGTGGCTACATTGGTATTTTCGCTCCCAGCCCGGGTTCCCACTAGTTCCTACCAGCAAAAGCGGCAAGAATTGAATTTAAACTGTTTCCTAATATTTATGACCATTAAGCTCAATGAACTCAAGTATCATACTGAGATGCTTGTATCTTTTACATTGGGCTCAGGAGTCTTACTAAGAATTGCCACTGACTCTTTAGGCTGATTAAGCCTTTCACTATTAAGAAGAAATCATTTGCAGAAAGAGGCTTTTCTTGTGTGCAGTTGATCATCAATTAAGATTGTAGTTATGTTCTTGAAAATGGCATCTAAGACAAAAAAACAAAAATCTTCTGAAACAAACTGAAGAACATGCGGGATAAACAGGGCTATGTTTCTTAGATTAACCCTTCCCCCTCCACAAAAAAAAGGCAAACAGTTTTGAGAGGATTCCAGATTGTAAGCAAATAAAAATGACAGTGTAATTGTAGGTGGTTGTTGTGATGTATTATATTTAATGCATTGGTTTATGCTACAGGTATTACAAAAATAATAATTTTTACCTTAAATTGTGGTTGATTCTGAACAAAATGGATAGGGTTGCTGTGGCCCTACTGGGCTGAAGTGGAAGGCTGTGGATTGATTGCTGAGGTGGATGGTTGAGGTTCTGGCACAAAAGTAGATGGTTGTATTGGAGTACAGTAATAAGAAATTCTGTAATGCATCTTTGGTCTCTTACCCTGCAGTACTTTATACAGCTGATGGAATGGCATCAACAGCTGTTCTAGAC